TTCTTGTTCCCAAATACTATCTCTATGATCTGTGAATGTTAATTATTAATTATCCTGTACCCATCAATGTAAAAGAAGTGTTTCTCCATTTTGCTTTATATCAAATCCTAGAGATTTCCTCGCTTTGCTTTCTTCTGCCTCCTTAGTTTACCACCAATGTGATGAAAAAGAATGAAAATAGCTGCAGTAGATGTTAAAAGATTACCTTCCCCCTCTCAATCCCACAAGCAAAGTGTTCCTTCTGGAGGCAAAATGGCCCTCAATTGACCATGTGAGAAATAAAAAGGGTGGTTGTGGCATATGGTAGGGATAAAACTTAAAAGGTTTGCCAAGTATTTGGATAGAAATGTGACTGAGGAAGAGAATTGAAAGATCAAACAGAGCCCAGCTGATGTGGCTCAGTGGTTGAGCATTAGCTCAGAGTTAGATTTTCTGTCTCTCCCTTGCTCTCTGAAATCAATTAAAGAATATTTTTTAAAAAGATAAAAAGATCAACCAGAACTACAGAAAATGCTCTGGAGGCCATGTAGTCTAATCTGCTCATAACTGCTTGCAAGATTGTAAACTTTGGAGGGAATGCAGTAAAACCTACTAATAATCACAAAAATTATCTTGCTCTTTGATTCAGAAATTCCATTCCTAGGAATTTATCTTAAAACAAAATTAAAATGAAAAACTTTATGTACAAAACAACAGTAGTTACATGGAGATAGTGACAATGTTGTTCTTAACAATTAAACCACAGTGCCTGGAAACAAGAGATCCACATTTAAGAGGTTGATTTAAGTTGTATGAGTTCCCTGTAAATGTTGGAGATTAAACCCTTATCAAAGATAACATTGGCAAATATGTTCTCCCATGCGGTGGGCTTTCTTGTGGTTTTGTTGATGATTTCTTTTGCTGTGCAAAAGCTTTTTATTTTGATGTCGTCCCATTTGTTTATTTTCTCCTTAGTTCCCATTTCCCTAGGAGCTGTATTGGTCAAGATATTGCTACCACAAATGTCTGCTACTTTGCTGCCTATAGCTTCTTCTAAGATTTTTATGGTTTCCTGTTTTACATTTAAGTCCTTTAATCATATTGAGTTTATTTTTATGTATGGTATAAGTTGGTGATCTAGTTTCATTTTTCCCAGCACCATTTATTGAAGAGACTGGGTTTGACTCCATTGTATGCTCTTGCCTCCTTTGTCAAATATCAATTGAGCTTAATGGCTTGGGTCGATTTCTGGATTCTCTGTTCTGGATTCATTGGTCTATATGTCCTTGTGCCAGTACCAGGCAGTTTTGTAATATAGCTTGGTATTGTGATCCCTTCAACTTTGTTCTTCTTTCATAAGATTGCTGCAGCTATTTGAGGTCTTTTTTTATTCCAGACAAATTTTTGGAGAGTTTGTTCTAGGTCTTTGAAATATGCCATTGGTATTTTAATGGGGATTGCATTGAATCCATAGATTGATTTGTGTAATATGGACATTTTAATGACGTTGATTCTACCAACCCATGAGCACAGTATATTTCTCCATTTACTTATGTCTTCTTTTATTTCTTTTTTCAGCGTCATGTAATTTTCTGAGTATAGGTCCTTTACCTTCTTGGTTAAATTTATTCCTACATATCTTAATTTACTACTTAACAAAAGGAAGATAAACAAACTAATTTAAAAAATTGGCAAAGGGCCTAAATAGACACTTTTTGAAATGAGGAGATAGAGAAGGTCAAGAGACATATGAAAGCATGCTCAAAATCACTACTTATCCAAGAGATGCAAATCAAAATGACAGTGAGGTACCATCTCATACCTGTCAGAATGGCTATCATCAACAAATCAACAAATGACAAATGCTGGCGGGAATGTAGACTGTGGAGAACAGTATGGCCATTCCTCAAAAAATTAAAAATGGAACTCCCATTTCATCCAGTGATCCCACTTCTAGGAATATATCCCAAGAAACCAAAAACACCAATCAGAAAGGATATATGCACTCCTATGTTTATAGCAGTACAATTTACAATAGCTAAGATTTGGAAACAGCCTAAGTGACAATCAGCAGATGAGTAGATTAGAAAAATGTAGTATATCTACACAATGGAATACTACACTGCTGTAAAAAAGGAATTCTTACCATTTACAACAGCATGGATGGAACTGGAGAGCATTACACTAAGCAAAATAAGCAAGTCAAGCCGAAACCGGTTTGGCTCAGTGGTAGAGCATCGGTCTGCGGACTGAAAGGTCCCGGGTTCGATTCTGATCAAGGGCATGTACCTTGGTTGCGGGCACATCCCCGATAGGGGTTGTGCAAGAGGCAACTGGTCAATATTTCTCTCTTATCAACGTTTCTAGCTCTCTATCTCTCTCCCTTCCTCTCTGTAAAAAAATCAATAAAATATATTTTAAAAAATAAGCAAGTCAGAAAAAGATAAATATCACATGATGATACTCATATGTAGGATATAATGATCAACATAAACTGATGAACAAAAATATAACCACAGTCATCAAAGCATAGAACAAACTGTCCAACCTATGAGTGAAGTCAGGGGGTGAGGGAGTAAGAGATCAACCAAAGGACTTGGATGCATGTATATGAGCATAACTAATGGACTCAGATAGTAGTAGGGTGAGGGCCTGTGCTGGGGGTGGAAGCAGCCAGAGAGAGGTCAGTGGGAGAAAAAGGAGACTTATGCAATACTTTAAACAATAAATAATTTTTTAAAGGTTGATTTAAGATTCAGAGATGAGATTGAAGATTCTGGAGAGAGAAGTTGTAGCTAATGAAACAAAATCTGAGAGCAAGTGGGAAGGGCAGAAAACAAGAATGCAAATAGAGAGCTGGACAGTGTGGTTCAATTGTTTGAGCCTCATTTCATGTACCAAGAGATGGCCCTTGGATTCCCTGTCAGGGCATGGCCCAGGTTGGGGCTCCCTCCCCAGGAGGGGGCGTGCAGGAGGCAGCCCATAGATATTTTTCTGTCATTGATATTTCTCTTTCTTTCCCTCTCCTTTCCTCTCTCTCTAAATCAATAATTTAAAAAAAATATGTATTTAAAAAGAAAAAAAGAAGAATGCAAATCCTAGCTCTTTTTCCAGAGAGAAGGCAACAACTGGGAGAATTTGTAATGGAGAAAGTACAAAGAAGTTGGGTGGAGGAACTGACAGAGGGCTTCAATCGATCACATCATCTACAGAGTAAGGACCAGAACCACCACCCAAGGTTTAAACAAAAATCCCAAAGTTTGCCTGAGGGCATTTCCTGAAAACAAGATTTATGCACATTCTGTGAAAAACTGCTCTGGAACATGCTGTTCAGAAATGAGGACTCCTAGACATGCAATATGCAGAGACTAGGAAGAATAAGGAGTTAAGTGGACATCTTTCTACTGAAGTCCCTAGCAATTTGATTTTTAAATTGCCCTCTAGCCCTGATCGGAGTGGTTCAGTTGGTAGGAGCATTGTCCCACGCACCAGAAAGTCTCTGGTTAATTGCTGGTCAGGGCACATGCATAGGTTATGGGTATGATCCTCCAACAGGTACGAGAGGCAACCGATCCATGTCTGTCTCACTTGATGTTTCTCTCTCCTCTTCTTCCCTTTCTAAATCAATAAAATAAATTTTTTTTAAAAATTATAAATAAGTAAATAGTCTTCTAGCCCTGAGCATCTATCCATAGACCAAAGGGTCTGGGCTTTGATTCTAGGTCAAGGGCAGGTACCTGGTTTGCAGGCTAATCCCCCAGCCCCTGTCAGGGAGTGTGTAGAAGGCAATCAAGCCAGGAGCCAACCAAACCTGGAGGCAACCAATGGATTTGTCTCTCTTAGGTTGGTATTTCTCTTTCCCTCCCTTCCCTCCACTTTCAAAATAAAAATAAAAATAAATAGATAAAAAAATCAATGGGAAAAATATCCTCCGGTGAGGATTACAAAAACAAACAAACAAAAATAAAATAATTGCCCTCTAAATATGAAATCCCTGTTAATTTGGCAGAGATTCCGCGATTCTAGTGTGAAGCCATGCATTTCAATTAAACTACTGTTTTGCTAAGTAAAATACGCAAGTCAGAGAAAAATACATGATTTCACTTATATGTGGAGTCTAATGAACAAAATAGACTAACAAAATAGAAATAGACTCATCGCGACAGAGAACAGACTGATAGCTGTCAGTGGTGAAGGGGGTTCTGGCTGGGGTTGGGGCCTGGGTGAAAAGGGTGGTGGAATCAAGCAAAAAAAACAGACAAAAACACCCAAAAAACAAAAAGGAAATCCTGACAACCATATGGTGATTACCAGAGAAGAGGGGAAAAGAGGTGGGAAGGGGGGCGGGAGGAGCTAGAAGAGCGTAAAGGGGAATAGAGAAGGAAGATTTTACTTGGCGTGGTGAACACACAGTACAATATACAGTTGATGCATTACAGCAGTGTTTCCCAAACTTCTCTCATGATGAGAAAGAATCACCTGGTGAAGTTGTTAAAATACAGATTCCTGGCCGAAACCAGTTTGGCTCAGTGAATAGAGCCACGGCCTGCGGACTGAAGGGCCCCGGGTTCAATTCCGGTCAAGGGCATGTACCTTGGTTGCGGGCACATCCCCAGTAGGGGGTGTACAGGAGGCAGCTGATCAATGTTCCTAACTCTCTATCCCTCTCTCTTCCTCTCTGTAAAAAATTAATAAAATATATTTTTAAAAATACAGATTCCTGAATCCCAACTAAGAAGTGCTAAACTAGAATTTCCTCCCAAAAATTCCAGTTTAGCACTTCTTAGGTGGGACTCAGGAATCTGTATTGGGAAACACTGCATTACAGAACTGTAAAAAAATAACTTAAGGTACTGCTGAGCATACAGTGAACAAGAAGGCGCTGAGTGGAAGGACGGTGGGCGTGGCCAACGTGAGAGGGCTGGGGCCCCGCCCCCTTCCCACAGTGCACCGCGGCGGCGGCCCCGCGCGCTCCTTCCTCACCGGCTCCGGGCTCCAAGGAGGAGGAGGAGGATTCGGCCATGGACGGGCTCCGGGCCAGCGCAGGTTTGCTGAGGCGCGGGCGGCTGAGACGCCGGCGCCAGCCGCAGTCCCTCAGCGGGTCGGTGCTGGTCCTGCCCTTGAGGCCCAGGAAAATCCGAAGGCAGCTCCGGAGAAGCGCCGCGTCCCGCATGGCGGCGCTGAGGGCCCAGTCGCTGCCCAGCGAAGACTCGGGGGACTCGCGGGCGGAACCGACCGCGGACGGTCCCCGGGACCCGCCGCCCGGAGGGGCGACGGCCACCCCGGATGCGGGCCGGCGGGAGCCGCCCTCGCGCCTGGCGGCCGCGCCCCCGCCCGCAGCCCCCGCCGCGCTGCCCGGGCCGCAGGGGGGCGGCGCCGGCGGCGGGGGGCCGGCCGGGAGCTCCCCGCTGCAGCGCGTCCTGGCCGAGCTGAACCGCATCCCCAGCAGCCGGCGGCGCGCAGCCCGCCTCTTCGAGTGGCTCATCGCGCCCATGCCGCCCGACCACTTCTACCGGCGCCTGTGGGAGCGGGAGGCCGTGCTGGTGCGGCGGCAGGACCACACCTACTACCAGGGCCTCTTCTCCACCGCCGACATCGACGCCATGCTGCGCCACGAGGACGTGCAGTTCGGGCAGCACCTGGACGCCGCGCGCTACGTGCACGGGCGGCGCGAGACCCTGAACCCGCCGGGCCGGGCCCTGCCCGCCGCCGCGTGGGCCCTGTACCAGGCCGGCTGCTCCCTGCGCCTCCTCTGCCCGCAGGCTTTCTCCGTCACCGTGTGGCAGTTTCTGTCGGTGCTCCAGGAGCAGTTTGGAAGCATGGCGGGCTCCAACGTGTACCTCACGCCCCCCAACTCGCAGGGCTTTGCTCCCCACTACGACGACATCGAGGCTTTTGTGCTGCAGCTGGAAGGAAGGAAGCTCTGGCGCGTCTACCGACCCCGGGTCCCGGCCGAGGAGCTGGCCCTGACATCCAGCCCCAACTTCACCCAGGATGACCTTGGGGAGCCGGTGCTGCAGACCGTGCTGGAGCCTGGAGATCTGCTCTATTTTCCTCGGGGCTTCATTCACCAAGCCCAGTGCCAGGATGGGGTGCACTCCCTCCACCTCACCTTGTCCACGTACCAGCGCAATACCTGGGGTGACTTCCTGGAGGCCGTACTGCCTCTGGCATTGCAAGCTGCAATGGAGGAAAACGTGGAGTTCCGTAGGGGACTGCCCCGAGACTTCATGGATTACATGGGGGCCCAGCATTCGGATTCTAAGGATCCCCGAAGAACTGCTTTCATGGAGAAGGTGCGGGTCTTGGTTGCCCGCTTGGGACACTTTGCTCCAGTCGATGCTGTGGCTGACCAGCGAGCCAAAGACTTCATCCACGATTCCCTGCCTCCCGTGTTAACCGACAGGGAGAGGGCACTGAGTGTTTATGGGCTCCCCATTCGCTGGGAGGCAGGAGAGCCGGTAAACGTGGGCGCCCAGTTGACCACAGAAACAGAAGTGCACATGCTTCAAGATGGGATAGCTCGGCTGCTGGGTGAGGGAGACCATTTGTTTCTGTATTATACAGTGGAAAACTCCCGCGTTTATCACCTGGAAGAGCCCAAGTGCTTGGAGATTTTACCCCAGCAAGCTGATGCCATGGAACTCTTGCTCCGCTCCTACCCAGAGTTTGTGAGAGTGGGAGACCTGCCCTGTGACAGTGTGGAGGACCAGCTTTCCTTGGCGACCATGTTATATGATAAGGGGTTGCTGCTCACCAAGATGCCTCTTACCTGAACTAGTTATCAAACTACGATATCATAGTTTCTTGTTGACTGCTGAAAACAAGGCAGTGGTGATTGATGATTCTTTCCTACCACCACCACCACCACCACCACCACCTTGTTCTGGAGTGGGGGGAGGGGGGACCACTCATGTTCTTACCTTGATGACCATCATTGTGTGCTTATGTGTTTACCTTTAGGACTGCTGCAGTGTCAGGAAACTCAGATGATTTTGTAGGAACCACCACATCTAGGCACAAAAATAAAAGCAGAAGTTGGAGGTGGAAAAAAAAGCTCTTTCTACCCACCGAAGTAACCTCGATCCCTGTTCATTTCAGAATACTAACTTAATCATCATCCTCAGGCTTCAGTGTACTGGGTAGCACGTGCTGTCACTCTGCTTGAGACTTTAGAAATTTTTATTTGGAATTGGTGTGCATCCTTAATTTGGGTTCTCATTCATCAGGTTGGGGGGAGGGTTGGAGTTAGTATCCTGTTTGTTATTGTGAGTTTGTATGAACGTTAAAAGTTATTAAAGTGCCAAAGAATGTTCCCCTTTTTTAAGGCTAGATTATGTGGCATGGTTTGAAGGAATGTTGGAGAGCGGGGAGGAAAAGGGAGAAAATGGATAATGGCCTCAGCCCTAGGTGAAAGGTAACTCTGGTAGGTGTAGGACTGGGTCCAATTCTATAACTCTGGGGGTAATTCATTTATTTTAATCATGCTACTTGAACCCCAAACAGCACAATCATATAAAAATTATGATATATTATCTTCTTAAGAATATGCTTTTGCTCAGTGCTTGTTTGCATCAGTGACTGGCACTGAATCCTAGTTATATCATAGGCCAAGTTACTTTACACTCTCATTTTTTTCTGGCAAGTGAATATTCTCATGTTGGTGGAAAAGAGCCTGGTGTACCAGAGAGAGCATTGGTCTTGGAACCAGAAGACCTGGGTTTGGGGTGGTGGCTGGTAGGCAGCTGGCTGAATGACCTGAGGCTGCTGCTACACCTGGGCACAGATTTTGTAAGTATTTTGTAAGTCTTCACTTCATTTAGATTTTATCTGGAACGTTTTAGATCCTTTCACCAGTTACGATGCAAAGTTGAGAACCTTATAAAGTCTTTTAAAGTTGCAAAACCATAGATGTATAATACGTTCATGATAGCTCTCTCTCCAACCCCACTTTGCAGAGGTAACCACTATTAAAGGTTAAGCCTCAACAGCTTTTTCGGGGTGCTCTACATTCGTTTTTGTTTTGTACTTGTTTTTCTAATGTCATTCCCCCCAACCCCCACTTTCAAATCAGTTCAAATAGAACGCCCTCTTTCATTTTTAAAAGGAATAAAACAGACCGGTTTGGCTCAGTGGATAGAGCGTCGGCCTGCAGACTGTAAGGTCCCACGTTCGATTCCGGTCAAGGGCATGTACGGCCACATCCCCAGTAGGGGGTGTATAGGAGGCAGCTGATCGATGTTTCTAACTCTCTCCCTCTCCCTTCCTCTCTGTAAAAAAATCAACAAAATACATACTTAAAAAAAAAAATAGAAGGGATAAAATAGTTAAATAAAAGTGTGTGGTGGTGGGGGATGGGTGTGCAAGGGGAGGGGAAAAAAGTAACAGAAGGATGCAGAAGAAGCCCAATAAGGAAAGGAGGTAGGTAGCCTTTCCTGGCTCTCATCCTACAGGACAGACACAACTAAGGCCCAAAACATCCAGATCCTGCCCAGCTAGAGTGCTTCAGTGGTTGAATGTGGTCGACCTGTGAACCAGGAGGTCACAGTTTGATTCAGGGCACATTCCTGGCTTGCAGACTAGATCCCTAATAGGAGGTGTGCAGGGGGTAGCCAATCAATGATTCTCATCATTGATGCTTTTACCTCTACTTCTCCCTTTCTGAAGTGAATAAAAATATATTTTAAAAAATATAAAAACATCCAGATCCTAAAGCATTAGACTCACTTCTGGAAAACTTACCACGAAAAGTTTCTTGAAGAAAAATATGGAGTTTCATTGGTTTTTGCCCTTCTTTGGGTTGCAAGTAAATATGTTTTGCTTCTCCCTTTACTTTTTTTATGTCCTCCTCTATCTTGAATATTTTCTGCGTCAGCAAGTCCTTTTGGTTCAGTGTTTGAATCTAGATCAAAACAATATTGAAGAAAAACAACTAGGCTACAAATCATCAAAAAGCATTAGTGATGATTATTGCTCATGCTTGTTAGTATTAGGTGGTACATTAAATGCCTGAGAGCATTGTTCTTTTGTGATACTGGTGGGACATTTTTACATTTGTTAATGAAAAATTAACTTTAGCTTTTTGGGCATGATGAAAGCAATCTGCTAAGAAATGCCTGCTTGGTGTGAGGTTGGTTTTGTGAATTATATATGAAGAAAAAAACTTTCACATTTTTAAAATTTCACTCTATTTCTTCAACTCCTTTAACAGCTTTGAAAAATTAGAACCATCTCTTCAGCTTGAGTGTTCTTTTGGTGACAGCGTCCAGGTTAGGAAAGTTTAGAAGGAAAAAGAAAACTTAGGAGGCCAGCTCCAGTCTCTATCGGCAACACACACACACACACACACACACACAAAACTTTGGTTTAGGAGATGGCTAGGAGAAAAGAGGAAAGGAAGGAAACTATTTTAGAAACAACAACAACAAACACTGATTTTGAGAACTACTGATAGAACTAATAGGATTTTGGTTTTGTTTTTATAATCTTATTTTGCACAGATGTTTTGTGTCTTCAAATGATGTGGTATCTGTCTAGGATTGCAGAAAGTGCTTCCGTGATGGGGAAAATGGTGTGTCCACATGCTTTCGGGGCAAAAAGGGTCTGAAGAATTCTTGCAAGCCCTGAATTTCCCCTTGAAAGCACAGGTGCATTTATCTACCTTGTTCTTGACCCGCTGAACCATTTCTTGATTTCCTTTACCTTCTAACTTGAGTATCTTCATTGCCTGGAGAATTGCCCTGCAAAATAAGAGGACTTCTTAGATTGTTTCTGTCCTTTGAAATAAAGCATGGGGGTGGAAAATATAGGACTTGGAATCAGTCAAGAATCCTAAATTTCAATCCTAACTAGGCGCCTTTTGCCGTGCCTTATCCTCAAGTGGTATGATGTCTAACTTTTAAGGATGTTATGTAGTTTTTGAGATGATATATTTGAAGGTACTAATAAATACCATTTATTGAATGTCTTTATGACAGGTAGTGAACATTATTCACCACAGATCCGTAAGATAGACTATCGTCTGCATTTGATATAAGAAGAAGAAAAAGGGCTCAGAGAGTTTAAGTCATTTACTCGGACTCACATAGCTTGTGCAGGCATGAGTTGATATTCACACCCAGACTTTTTTACTTTAAAGCCTGTTGGTACAGTAGTTGAATAAATTAATAAAACAACCTAGGATAGAGAATAGGTGTGTGAACTCTATGAGCTTGACTTTCACTCTCATGAAAAATCATTTTTTCAGTTACCCATTTTGGTAAGTAGGTGAATGACACAGGTGAGCCCACGGTTTTGCAGCCATTGGGCAGCCACAAGGCTGTGTTCTGTTAACAAGGGTGGGCAGGGGAAGGAGCCAGAGGTTTAGTGCTTACTTTAGAACAGCATCATGTTTTTCTAGGAGCAGCACATCTAGGAAGGTGTTCCTGATCCGGTCCCCTTGAAGGTTGAGGGCTTGGATGCTACGGCAGGCTTCCAGACGCACACCTGCAGACCTTTCATAGTGTACAGCCCAGAGCAGGAGGTCTGTCAGCTGGGGACTCACTTGGCCAATCTGTCCCAAAGCTGCAGAGAGCAGAGGGCAGTAGCGTCTTCCACTGTCACTTGAAACTAATCTGGCTATATCTTAACATCAGAAATGGTCTTAGTAAATGTGTAGGCAGCCACAAAGTATTCGCTTTGTTTATTTCTTTCCTTTTGGATGATAATCACCTTTAGAATTTTGGAGATGCGTTTGAGCAGGACATTATCTCCAAAAGATTCCTAGGAGGGGTTTCGATCCCATCCTTGTCCATTAGGATATGAGAATACACAATCTATCATAAATAGGTAAATGTAAGGATGAGATTCGGGACTCATAACTCAGAAAACTAGTGTAGTCAAGGCAAGCTTTAGTTGTATACGTGATGACACTTTGTAGAGTCTAGCCCTTAACAGGCCTGTCAGCTGGCCAATCTGTGAAGAAAGGGGCACGATAACTTCACAGGTACCTAGGGCCGATTCTGCTAGGGACCTGCCAAAAACTCAAGCAACGTAGAAGATCCTTAAAAAAGAAACCAGGAAATGTTGAGGGCAGGGTTTTAGGTCTACAGCAGTCTTGAATGTGGTCACACTTGTAGAGAGTCCTGTAGTTGAAACCTCCAGAAAAAGCAAGTGTATCCAACCTTGTATTCCAAGTGTATCCAACCTTGTATTCCCTTTTCCTTAACAAGTTTGACATTGACCCAGACTCAGGATCCGTAACTAAAAATTTAAAAGCAAAAAAATAATCTTTCATTTCTCAGGCAAGGAACTTCTGGGCACGTGTGATCATCTCCTCCCCTACACTCCAACCCTTATTAGGGAAATCCTGGGGATAATTTTTCTAGCATGTGGAGAGATATTTGAAGTTGAGGAGCTGGGGCATTTTCTCTGTCATACCTCGAAGGGCAAAGGCCTTGATTTTCCAGTAAGGATCTTTCTGTATCAGATTCCGGAGGCATTTAAAAACCTGGGAAGGGAAAGAAAAAAAGAAGAAAAAAAGACCTGGGATGGATAAAAGGCAATGTTGAGTGGAGAAGACCAGAGCAAAAATGAACCAGAGAAAGGGACCCCTCTTGTCTGAAAAATGACATACCTTAGTGACAAATGAGCTGGAGTCTGAATATTACCCTGCATACATTATATGTTAGCTGAATTATCTCATCTGTCTTTTGTTTTTCTCAGCTCCCAGATCTATATGGTGATACAGGCTTCTTTTGAATACCTCCATCATGTTTTCCCCTAATAACGTGGGATTACAACTTCATTCACTGGAGTTGATCTTAAAGCCCATAAATAAGATGAGAAGAAGATTCAAGGATGCCTGGGCTGGCTGGTAGCTAACTGTGGTCCTAACTGATTGATGTGGCCTATATATCCCCTCACCTTTCTGGTTCAGATCTCTCCTGTGTCCCCACAGAATGGTGAGTGTACTTTGCACAACAAGAGGAGCTCAGGGTAGTGCTCTCTTCGGGTTGATCAGGTAAGATGGCATCGTGTTTCCTTGACTCACCATTGGGTTACGGATCTGCAGGGCACCTGCTGCCAAACAGGCTGCTCGCCTAACTGCCATGAAGTCATCAGAGAAGCAGTTTAGGAAGCCTGGGAAAAGCTTGGCGGTCATGAGCTTGAGTCCACCAATCAGTGACAGGGCTTCCACACGCTCTTGGGAATTTCCTAGACTCAGCTTGATTCTGTAAAGTACAGGTGCTTTTATTTCCCCTCCTCAAGCTTTTTTTTTTTTTTTTTTTTTTTTTAATGATTTTTTTACAGAGTGGAAGGGAGATAGAGAGCTAGAAACGTCGATGAGAGAGAAACATCGACCAGCTGCCTCCTGCCTGCACACCCCCCACCAGGGATGTGCCCGTAACCAATGTACATGCCCCTGACCGGAATCGAACCTGGGACACCTCAGTCCGCAGACCGATGCTCTACCACTGAGCCAAACCGGTTTTGGCCCCTCCTTAAGCTTTTGATGCTCCTTCCCCCCACTGCCCTCAGGATAAAATCCAACCTCTTTAGGCTCTCCATTATCCATTTCCACCCCTTCCTAATCAGCCTTTTGCCCTATTAGGTTAAGTTTCACTGGGTAGAGACTCAACTCTCTTATTTACTTGAATCCCTATTACCTAATTATGTTGAATGCCTAAATCAAAGAAACTTTCAAACATTCACCTCTTGCTTGCTACAGTTCTCTTTGCTGCCTTCACCTGTGCCATGCTCATTTCTACATTTGGCTCCCAAATGTCTTTCCTTCTCTCCTTTGCCTATGTAGTCTTAGCTGTCTTTCATGAAACTTGACCTTATTAGGTATTTGTGTTTCTTACCTGTATAATCAGAATCATGTCATACTTTTGAATTCTTTTAATCATCCAAAATAGTGCCTGACACCTAGTAGGCACTCAATGATTCTTTCCTTAGCCACATTGTTAGTATCTATAATACTAACCTTTTATTTTATTTTTTAAAATCCTACAATGGCACCTAGTACAATGCTGAGCATACAGAGCAGCTCCCCAAAGGCTGGCTGGCTAAATCCCAGGGCCTCTGAACATTTTTTAAGAGTAGAAAAGTTTGTTTTTTCATGTTGCCTCATTTACCTGATGGTATCATGCAGCTCTTTCCCAAGATGCATTTGCCCCAGAGTTTTGGCAGCTGCTTGTCTTACTTCCTTATTCCAGTCATTCCACATCAGCTGGATCAACTTATGTTTCATATCCTATAAATAGGTGTGATAATTAGCTACCATTTATTGAATATCAGTTTTGTACTTGACATGTGCTTAGAGATTTTATCCATCACTTAATCTTCTCAAACAATCCAATAAAGCAGATATTACCATTTACAGATGACAGAATGCAGGCTTAGATGTACTTGCCCAGTGTTAACAAGTTGAGTGCTAGAGCCAGGACTCAGATCCAGGTCTGTTTGCCAACCACTGACCTAGACTCTCGACTCCAATAATTACAGACTATTGTTGTTCCTTGTGATTAAGCCGCTATGCCAGTGGTCGGCAAACTCATTCGTCAACAGAGCGGCAAACCTCGGCTTGGGAGCCGCAGTTTGCTGACCACTGTACCTAGACAAACCAGAATAGTTGATGCTTCTGAATATTGATACTTCTCTCAGAGGAGAAGGGACAAAGAATATTACAGTTGTAGTTGATTTTGTGAATTTTCCTGAGCTATTCTCCCTGATAGAAACATCTGTTTTTCACCCCTACCTGGAACCTGATGTTTTTTCTACTCTACTTTTCTGATTTAGCTCAAAAGGCATCTCTTCAGTGAACTCTCCTCTGTAAGCATAGGGCAAAACCCCATACTATCTTTTTTAAAAAATATATATATATTATTGATTTTGTACAGCGAGGAAGGGAGAGAGATAAGAGAGTTAGAAACATCGACGAGAGAGAGTCATCGATCAGCTGCCTCTTGCACACCCCCTACTGGGGATATGCCTGCAACATGCCCTTGACCGGAATTGAACCCGGGACCTTTCAGTCCCCAAGCCGACGCTCTATCCATTGAGCCAAACCGGTTTCGGCAAACCCCATACTATCTTAAAACTGATTCTGTTATAGCTATTTATAACCAAGTGAAGTCATTATCTTTACATGCCCAGTGCTAGCATGTGGGATGTGGTCAGAAACTCCTCGCTTACTGAATGGTGAACTGATGGGCATACTACCTTCCTTCATTCTAGCAATCTGATGTAAAGTTCTCATCTTTACCCTGCCCCTGCTTGCTCTGCATGTCTTTTTACTTTTAATCCTGAGTGATTTGTCTCTCAAATCAATAAAAAAAAATTTTTTTAAAAGAACCAATGAATGCATAAATAAGTGGAACAATAAATGGCTCTCTTTCTGCCTACCTTTCTCTCTCTAAAATTAATAATAAATAAATAAATAAATATATATATATATATATATATATATATATATATATATATATATATATATATATAAAAAGCCTAAGCAACTGTTATGATCGGTTGACTGAACAAACAGTGGACTGGTCGCTATGACACACACTGACCACCAGGGAGTAGACACACAACACAGGAGCTGTCTCCTTGTGGTCATTGTGCTCCCAGAGCTAGCCTTCTGTGGACCCTCCCCCTGGCCTGCTGGCCCCGATGGGCCCAATCACTGGCCAGGTCAAGCTACCCCACCTGTGCATGAATTCATGTACCAGGCCACTAGTAAGTAAGTAAACAAATAAATAAATGGTAGCTATGTGAGGACAGAGATCTATTTGGTAAGAATGGGATACTAGATAGCAGCAAAAGGTGGAAGGTTCTCTAGCATAGACTTTCTATCCTGGAAACAGAAAGAGGAGACTTACCAAACAGACATTTCCACTAACTCGTGAAAGAGTCCGGCAGGCCACAACCCGATCCTTCCATTGATGGCTATTCAGCTCCACAGCAAGCATGGTGTGTATCAGGGTCTGAGGAAATGAAAGACTTGCATGGGTGCTCATGATCATCTTTACAGGTACTAGAACCTTGAAGAATTTCCACCCTAACATGGCATCCAGCATGTCACAAATACATGAGATACTCATCCCTAGCAAAGAAGAGGTTGTAAAATGTGGAGCGCTCTTTCAACCTTTTTCATCTCATGGCACACGTAAACTAATTACTAAAGTTCTGTAGCACACCAAGAATACATTTTTTGCCGATCTGACAAAAAAAAAAAGTATAATTTTGATTCATTCACATTGGACAACTGTTGTTGTGTTGACAATAGTCCTTTTTTTATTTGATAATCTAAGCGGTCCAGGCCAGGTGGCTCAGTCAATTGGAGTGTCATCCTAAACACCAAAAGGTTGCAGGTTCAAGTTTTATTCCCAGTTGGAGCACATACAGGAGCAACTGATCAATGTTTCCTCTCTCACACTGATGTTTCCTTCTCTCTCTCACTCCCTTCATCACTCCCTTCTTCCCTCTCTCTAAAATCAATAAAAAACATATTCTTGGGTGAGGATTTTTAAAATAACAAAATAGCTCTGGCCAGTGTGGCTCAGTTGGTTGGGCTTCATCCCATGCACCAAACGGTTGCTGGTTCGATTCCCAGTCAGGGCATATGCTTGGGTTTCAGTTTCCATCTGCAGTAGGGGGAGTGGAGGAGGCAGCTGATCGATGTTTCCTCTCACATCAATGTTTCTCTCCCTCTTCCTCTCTCTCAAAATCAATAAACAATCTTAAAGTAATAAAAATTCTTGGCACACCAGTTGAAAATCACTGATCTAAGCCAACTGACATCTGGGATTATGAATCAGGAAACAAAATACAGATTTTTGTCATCTGAACAGAAAACTGGGGCTTGCTTTCTTAGATGTTTCGGAGAGAGAGATGGGAACATGTTCCACATATTCTCGCACTCACTGGTTGGTCCCTGTTTGTGCCCTGACCAGGAATCAAACCCACAACTTTGGCGCATGGAACGGTGTTCCAACCAACTGAGCTATCAGGCCTCGGCACTCCTCTTCCTGACTTTAACTACCTTTACTCCTAAAATGATTTGTATGTGCCTCAATCTCTGTGTTTCATGTTTCTGCTGAAAGTAAGCAATTCTAGATCTGTGTGGTTTCAAGGGTAAATTTATGGCAAAATTCTACATGTTACAACTCTTGTGGCATACACAGAAGCCATCTGCAGTCTACCTTTTCACCTTTCTCTAGTGGGCAGCAAACTCATTAGTCAGCAGAGCCAAATATCAACAGTACAGCTATTGAAATTTCTTTTGAGAGCCAAATTTTTAAAACTTAAACTTCTAACACCATGTTTTCAAAATAGACTTTCCCAGGCCGTGGCATTTTGTGGAAGAGCCACACTCAAGGGGCCAAAGAGCCGCATGTGGCTCGCAAGCTGCAGTTTGCCGACCACAGCGCTAAGCTGTCATCACTTTTCCTTGTATACACCTCTACACCCCAGTTCACCCACTCCAAGCCTAGTTTTACCTATGCTTGAGATCTCCCTACCCAACCACACCTGCATTTTCAATTCTTTACATGCACTGGGACCCAACTGTTCCCAAACTTGGTTTCTTTTTCTGACCTTGTAATGCATACATACCATCTTCCCACTGAGATGACTCAGGAGCAGGCAAGCCTGGTGTTCAGTGTCCTCATTCTTCTTGTTAAACAGCTGATAGAGGATCCTCTTAATCACAGGGTAAATGTCCACACCCTCCAGAGCCAAGCACTGAGCTGCAGCCCAGCTGTCCACGTTATTACCTGCCACGGTGGGGTGAACAGAGTCCAGAAAGGTTCTGATTACCCTGCATCCAGATATGTTACCTACCTCATATCTCACTTCCCTGTGCCCCCTCTCAGTCTGGAAATCCAATTCCGTATTTAAACCATATTAAATGGATCATATCAAGGTTTTAAATATAGACTGAAAAATCTTTTTAAAAATATATATATATTTTATTGATTATTTATTTATTTATTTATTTATTTATTTATTTACAGAGAGAAAGGGAGAGGGATAAAGAACTAGACACACAGATGAGAGAGAAACATTAATCAGCTGCCTCCTGCCACCGGTCAAGCTTCAATTCCGGTCAAGGGCATGTACCTTGGTTGCAGGCACATCCCCGGTAGGGGGTATGCAAGAGGCAGCAGGTTGATGTTTCTCTCTCATCGACGTTTCTAGCTCTCTCTCTCTCTCCCTTTCTCTCTGTTAAAAATCAATAAAATATATTTTTTTTAAATGAAAAGTTGCTAAGTTTCTATATGCAGGAGGCCAAACCAGTCTGCCCGTCATCTTTGTCCCGATTTCGCAGACAAAGAACAGGCACAACTCTGAGCAGGTAGGCACCATGGGCACATCACTTGACCTTTTTGCTGTATTACTACTCCAGCCATGCATGTGGACAGTACCTATAAGTTAATGTGCACAAATGGAAGCATGATGTGTTCAAGTGGTGATTTTTAATCTTCAGGAGGTATTCTTAAATATTGTTACATCACATTTCCAATTAAAACAAAATCCAGTTGTGTGAAAGGGTCTGGTTTCTGGTCAAACGCCATCTATGAAACACCACTAGGTGGCAGTGTACCTATTTTGTCAAAGTACCTAGGAAGAACTACTTTTTCTGTGTTCTAAGATGAACTGAAATCCAATACAGTAGACATCCCAGACATGACAGTGGAGAGGACAAATGGAGTAGCTCTAATGGTAAGATATCTCTTCTCTTTACCCCATATTCCCAGGTCAGAAGAAACAGAGAGTGCCTCACCTTTCATAAGGGCAGTATGCATGATCTCCCGGGCAAGGGGATTATGTGACTGTAAAGCATATTGGCATACTGCTGCCGCCATCTGCACATTGAAATTCTGGTCGCCAAGAGCAGCCTCCAGAGGCGGGAGTAGGACCTCTGGCAAGTCCTGGATCGATGGGGCTTCCACAGTCTTCTTGTCTGTGATCAAAAGAGAGTGCTAGCCCCTTTGCATTTCTCTGAAACACAGCTTCCTTCCCGGAGCCACATAGCCGTTGCAGGTAATACAATTAGAGGTTAGCTGGGCCCCTACAATGAGCAGGATTTTATGACTCACTTCTGTGCTGGGTATGCCAGTTCCACCTTTTATCATCTGGCCTCGAAGAAACTATATTCAAGCCAAAGAAAAATGTTTCCAGCTAGGCTATAGTCACTTGCCATTAGTTTTAGTGACAAAAATCAACCTGTTTACCCTATAGATTTTTGTGTTTTTACATTACATTTTGTACTTTCATATTATTTTTTAGTAATAATAGCAATTACATTTAGGTAGTGCTTTGCCATCTATATGGTGTTTTCTATTCATCTCATTTGTTCTTCCAACCTTTATTGAAGTGGACAAGGCAGAATTTACGGCGGAACTGAAATATGTGTATGTTTAACAAACAGACTCACAAAACTATTATAAGTCACATAGTACCAGACTTCCCAAGGGTATAGGATGGGAGCACAGTGTGCCAACAGGGCACTCCCTTTGGCCAGAGTCTGTGAGGTGGTTTGTATAGCATTCCACGGATCCCTCTGGGGACACCTCAGGACTATGGTCTTATGTTCCTCTGGAGTATCTCTTATAACAACTCCGTAGATACAGTCTTGGGGTCCCTAAAGGGAATGCTGTTATATAAGCCCCAGCATTCATGGAAACCTAAAGAATGGTGCCCCTTGACAGATTTACATTTCATTTATAGTTCTTCCCAGTCCAAATGTAACTAATCAGTCAGGGTTCATTTCTATCATAAGCAACATTGCCTATAAAGATAGTTCCTGTCCTTATCAAGTTAGCAGCGTGACAGGTATGCATTTAATTAAAACTCAAATTCTCAAGTAGAAGGGGAAGGATTTTATTAACCTTTTGTTCACAACTGTCCTCACTTTATAGATAAGGAATTTGAAACTCGGAAAAGCTGGACCTGTGACTAAGGTTTTAGGACTTCTAATCTGTCCTTTGAACTACCGCTACAGTCCGGTATGCCAACTGTTAAGAATGACCTAGATGGAAATACATAGTTCAGGGGAATACTGTTTCCCCGAAAATAAGACATCCTCCAAAAATAAGACCTAGCGCATGGAAAGATAAGACATCCCCTGAAAATAAGACCTAGCGCACCTTTGGGAGAAAAAATTAATATAAGACACTGTCTTATTTTCGGGAAACGGTAGAAACAATGGGTTATTTCAAGAAATAATGAGATCATTTTCTTTGGGAAGGTGTGGGGAGGAAACAAAACAAAATCTGGACACCTAGGACACGTGAAAGGGATCACATGAAAGGCATAGTTCTGGCGGGAGATAAAGATATTGGTATGGCCGAAATCGGTTTGGCTCAGTGGATAGAGCATTGGCCTGTGGACTGAAAAGTCCCAGGTTCGATTCCGGTCAAGGGCATGTACTTTGGTTGCGGACACATCCCCAGTGTGGGGTGTGCAGGAGGCAGCTGATCAATGTTTCTAACTATCCTTCTCCCTTCCTCTCTGTGAAAAATCAATAAAATACATATTTTTAAAAATATGTTTGTATGTATGTGGAAAATTTGGGGATAAGATTATGATATATGTTGCTGTTTATTGAAGGTTTTCTCTATGTGACAGGCACTGAGAATATACCATCCCATTTAATACCCAAGGAAATAAGCAATTATAATTTTAAAAAATGTATGTGTGTGGACACATGTCTAGCAGGGACACCAAACCAAGTCTGGGTGGTGGGGCAGGGAAGACTCCTCAGAGGAGGTGACAACTTAGCTGAAAGTTGAAGGGCAAGTATAAAAATTAATCAGATAAAGAGAGAAGAGTCTTCCAGGAGAGGAAGCAACAAATTTGGGTGGGGGGGGGGGTGGGGAAAGTCCATATCTGGAACTCAATAGACAGGATATAAGTGGAATGAAACTTTAAAAACCTGGCAGTTTTGTAGAACCAAAATAGTCCCTGCCCTGAAAGAGTCCCTTGCCTGCTAGTGATAGCAGAAAAGCACACAGACAATTATGACAGATACATATCAGGACTGGAATTATATTAGGATGCTAACCTGCAGCAGAGAAGAAAAAATGTCAGCCCAGGCTTCGCATAAAAGGTGATATCTGAGAGGGGACTTGAGGGACCATTGTCCTTTGGTTTTATGTCCTTTCAATGGCATTTATACACTGAGTGGTCAGATTATGATGATCTCTTAACACATAATAATCTGGCCACTCAGTGTATATATGAGGCCCGGTGCATGAATTCCTGCATGGGTGGGGTCCAGCCAGCCTGGCCACAGGGAGGGGACATGGGCAGTTGGCCAGCCTGCCTGCTGGTTGAACTCCTGGTTGAGGGGACAATTTGCATATTAGCCTTTTATTATATAGGATAGACACTGAATGGTCAGATTATTATGCGCTCAGAGACCATCACAATCTGGCCACTCAGTGTAGTTTCCAACATTGGGTCCTGTGTCTTGTTAAACCTGTTTCTGCTAACGAAAAGAAAACTGAAGAGGATTTTCGCACTTAAAACATGCCATTACCAAACTAATGACTTCCAGGAAAACGAAGCGGCACGTTCGAACTCGCAGAAAGTGGGAGATGATGCTTCGCTTCACGCCACTTTGGCTTACAAAGGGTTCCACGGGCGCATCTGCTTCCGGAGAGCAGGGGGAACCTGCAGACAGTGTTTGCGAGCAGCCCCGTTCCGGCTCTCACCTGGGTCCTCCTGCGCCTTGGCAATCCGGGGCCGTTCTAAAGCCGCGGTGGCACACGTGGCGATGGCTTGGATCCGAATGTCATCATGCATGTCCACCAAGCTCCGCAGCAGACCCTCTATCGTCTTGTGGCGCCACTCGATGACTGTGACACAGGGAGGGAAATGAGAAGAGAACCACTTGGCCAGGGTTAGACGCTGTACTGCAGGCAGGCGACAAGAAGCCCTCTCCCCCCTCGTTCTCTCCCCCTCCCCCAGGACAATTCAAGCAAAACACTAGCACAGAAAAATAAAGGGCCTCAGAGATGGGACCCTTAGGGAAGTTATTTCTCTAAGGATCCATATACTCTCTGGTTCAGTCCCAAACAATTTCCCCCCACCCTCAATCTCATCCTATAGCCTGTCTCTCTCTACTTAAACAGCTTCATTGTTAACCTGTCTGGAAAATAAAAGGGGCAATAAAACATGGCGGTTAAGGGCACTTTGTTATCAGACATACCTGTTTTGGAATCACAGTTATTAGCTGTGTGACCTTGGATACGTTACGTAACCTGTCTGAGCCTGAGATTTTCCATCTGTGAAATGGGAATGATACTGGGATCTACCACGTTGAGTAGCTGAATAGTACCTGAGTTAACTAGACCACGTTGAGCAAAATACCTGGCATGGAATCATGAGGTTTCCTTGCCTTTCAGGGCTCCTCCGTCTGGCTTTCAAGGTCATTCTCATGTGATCGCTAACAGCTCTCTTTGTGGGTATCAAGCTTTGATCTCAGTGCTTTCCCCATTTGTGGTTGCTCCCTGATATGTGGCTTTTATAATACTTAGCATCCCTTTTTCACTCTTTTACGCTTATCTGATCCGGTTTATGAAATGGACCACCTCTCTTCTTCCTGCCCTAGCTAAATTAGTTTCTCAGGTTCTGAAAGACAGCAGCCCTTGCGTCCTCAAATCTTATAGCTTTCAACAGTCCTTGCTAGGCGCTGCTCTGCCCCAGGCACTCAGACTTCTGCTCCCATATCTCTGAGGGCAAAGTAGATATAGGATAACCCCAACTCCACGAATGAGTTTTGGAGGGGGTGGTTTATACCACAGACAACTACCGTGTGAATAAAATAGTTATAAGCGTTTCTTGGGGGTTTTTGACCGTTACATTTCCATTTCTTGGACAGGGATGGATTTTCAAAGACTGAGGAACACTAGTCCAAGGTGAGAGCCTCCTCCCCCACAAATGCATACTGACACCTCTTCACGTCCCCGCCCCGAACCCGCCCCGTCCACTCACTCAGAGCCCAGGCCGTCCTCCATTCCTGCAGCATCCTCCGAAGGACCAGCAGTTTCCAGGGCACATCTTCCTTCAGGGAGTCCGCCTGCACCTTCATTTTCTTGGTCTTACTGATCACGTCCTCACTCCCCTGCATGAGCAGGTCTTTGGCCGGGATGGGCAAAGCAGCCCAGCGCGGGGCTCCTTTTACGGGCCTACAAGCTGTGCGGGGTGCCAGTGTGAGGTGCTGCCCTCGGCCCTGTGTTCCAGCAGCATCTCATTCCTACTCCTGACTGAGACCAAGGCAAAAACAATATCCTCAAGAGCAAACGTCCTTGTGGTTAGATAAAGGAAACTGAGTGCAAATCCCACAGGGAGCTGTGACTGCAGACGTGAGAAAGCCACACTGGTGGGGGAGGAAAGCTGAGCTATTTACAAACCTTTCTGTAAGTCTAATAAATCTTTAGGCACATACATATGTTTATAATAGAAGCCCGGAGCACAAAATTGCAGGGCCCTGCCTACCTGTGCATGCCCGCCCACCCGCAGCGATTGCAGCCCTGCCAACCCGCCTGCGCCTCGCTGTGCGCAGCTCCGCCCACCTGCGCGCTCCTCGCCGCCCACCCCCACGCCGGTCTTTGGTCGTTATGACATTAAGGCCACTGGGATTTTATAATTATAGATATAAAAGGCTTTGCTCCTAAAATTCAATATTTGGCATATTACAATTTAGAGTATAATGGGCCATTAATTCCTAGATTAAGTGTTCTTTTTTTAAAAATATTTTTTATTGATTTTTTTTTATAGAGAGGAAGGGAGAGAGATAGAGAGTTAGAAACAATGATGAGAGAGAATCATCGATCAGCTGCATCTTGCAGACCCCCTACCGGAGATGTGCTCACAACCAAGGTACATGCCCTTGACTGGAATCAAACTTGGGACCTTCCAGTCCGCAGGCTGATGCTCGATCCACTGAGCCAAACCAGTTTTGGCTAAGTGTTTTTTTAATGCTTTTAATTTGGGAGTAAGAATGGTCCTGCAAGCTGCTACACTTTAAAGATTTTAGCATCTCAGAATTTTTCCTAATTATGACAAATAACAGTTGGAACTTTGAGAACAGAAGAAAATCCTATATAATAAAAGGCTAATATGCAAATTGACCAAATGGTGGAATAACCAGTTGCTATGATGTGCATTGACCACCAGGGCTCAATGCAGGCACTGCTCAGCCAGAAGCCAGGCTCACAACTGGCGAGGGCAGTAGTGGTGGCAGGAGCCTCTTCCACTTCCTTGGCAGTGCTAAGGATGTCCGACTGACGGCTTAGGCCTGCCCCCCAGTACTCGGACATCCCCCAAGGGCTCCCGGACTGAGAGAGGGCCCAGGCTGAGCTCAGGGATATCCCCCTTCCACCCTGAGTGCATGAATTTTGTGCACCGGGCCTCTAGTATTATAAAAGTATAGTTGATATATAAAAATAGTTATAGCTGTTATATTTTTCTAGACTTAACGTGATCCCTGATATGAGATTCAGAAAGGGTCTTTCTCAGAGGAGTAGTTGTGTAGAAAAGAAGGCAAAACAGATAAAAACATTTCTGGCCCGGCCAACGTAGCTCAGTGGTTGAGCATCAACCTATGAACCAAGAGATCACGGTTTGATTCCAAGTCAGAGCACATATCTGGATTGCAGGCTCGATCCCCAGTCAGGGTGTGCAGGAGGCAGCCAACCAATGATTCTCTCTCATTATTGATGTTTCTATCTCTCCCTCTCCCTTTCTCTCTGAAATCAATAAAAATATATTTTAAAGAGAAAACAAAACCTTTGCAGACTACTAATTTCATTATTTGCCACATTGCTTCTCAGTTTCATGTTCTAATCTGTCACTGTCAGCAGTTTCTGTTTTTCCAGAGTTCTTTCCAACTCCAACGTGTTTAGATGTGCTCTGAATCAATTCTTTTCTTTGAGTAAGGAGGGCAAAGCCACTTCTTTCTTCTAACGTAAAAAGAGACCTGCAGTTTAGCTCAGATGCTCGTATAGGCCACACCCTAAAAATGGCGCTCACCCAGCTGATCACGCTGGGGGAACTCAGTCACCCTGAGTTCAGGGCTTCCTTCCTTTGCAGGGTAGGATGTGCTCAGCCAGAAGCCACAGAACCAGCTCCAGATAGGACAGCTCCCAGGGAATAGATCCTTGGCCACATGACATACCCCCACTTCTCTCAGCCTTCTTAAAATCCTTTTCCTGTAAATGAGTGGCCGTTCCTCCTGTATGCCCCTGCCCAGGGAGTTAAAACCGATGTGGTCAGAAAGTCTTAAATCTCTGCCAGTTAAACTCTAAGAGAATAAACATGTACAACTACAAACATTTATTTTACTGCCAGCCCTTGAGTTCTAGGCAGGTAGAAATACACCCACTAGCCACCTTCCGCCTCCGAAGTCACCTAAAGGGAGCATACACGGAAACAAGCCTCTGATTGCCTATGGGAGAAAAGGCACAGTACACCTAGTTGGCAGAAACAGATGGTGCCTTTGTGGCGTGTACTGTAAACCTGTGCTTGGTATACAGGAACCATGATGATCTAGGCACGCTAAGAGAGTTTTCGGTCCACTGTACACTTCTTTCTTTCTTTTTTAAAAAATACTAGAGGCCCAATGCACAAAACTCATGCAAAGGGCTTGGCCCTCGCAGCCATGGTGGCTGCCTCAGCCCTCACAGGCCCGGCTTCATCCAGAAGGATGTCCAGAAAATCGTTCAGCTGTCTGGTCTAATTAGCATACTATGCTTTTATTATTATAGATATGTTTATTGATTTCAAAGAGGAAGGGAGAGGGAGGGAGGGATAGAAACAGCAATAATGAGAGAATCACACTGATCAGCTGCCTCCTGCACACCCCCTACTGGGAATCCAGCCCACCACCCAGACATGTGGCCTTGACCTGAATTGAACCTGGTACCCTTCAGTCCTGAGGCCGATTCTGTATCCACGGAGCAAACCGGCTAGGGTTGTACAGTTTATATCTTAAGAATTTTAATCATTTTAGCTGAAACCGGTTTGGCTCAGTGGTAGAGCGTTGGTCTACGGACTGAAAGGTCCCAGGTTCGATTCCGGTCAAGGGTATGTACGTTGGTTGCGGGCACATCCCCGGTGGGCGGTGTGCAGGAGGCAGCTGGTCGATGTTTCTCTGTCATCGACGTTTCTAGCTCTCTATCTCTCTCCCTTCCTCTCTGTAAAAAAACAATAAAATATATTTTAAAAAAAGAGAATTTTAATCATTTTAAGGGAATCACCATCTAAGTTTTTTAATTCAATCAAAAGGGGGAAGGGGAGAATCTGCACACATCTAACCTCAGGAAGTTTTCTATTATTTCCAGGTTATTTCATATCCAGTATTTCAAGATGAGATGGTGAATAAAATAGTTGTAAGAAGATATATACATATATATATATATATATTACTATTCTGATTTTACTTTCCTCAGATCAATTTCAAATACTGTTTTAAAAAGAGATTTGATATCAAAAACCTACAGCACCAGCTCATTAAATGTTCTGTGTTCTGATGGGAAAAGGTGGATATCCAGCTCTGTTGGGGATAAGGTGGCTAAGAAGCAAGCGAGATAGGTCGTGAAGTTTCTGTGAATGCAGCAGGATCCTCAGAGGATTAAAAAAATAATAATAATAAGCCCTAACCGTTTTTGGCTCAGTGGATAGAGTGTCAGCCTGTGGACTGAAGGGTCCCAGGTTCGATTCCGATCAAGACCATGTACCGTGGTTGTGGGCACATCCCTAGTGGGGAGTGTGCAGTGTGCAGGAGGCAGCTGATTGATGTTTCTCTCTCATCAATGTTTCTTTCTTTCTTTTTTTTTTTAAAATATATTTTATTGATTTTTTACAGAGAGGAAGGGAGAGGGATAGAGAGCGAGAAACATTGACCAGCTGCCTCTTGCACACCCCCTACTGGGGATGTGCCCGCAACCAAGGTACATGCCCTTGACCGGAATCGAACCCGGGACCCTTCAGTCCGCAAGCCGACGCTCTATCCACTGAGCTAAACCGGTGCCAGCTAGTGTCTGAGTTTTATTTTTATTTTTTTTAAAGAGAAGTTTTATTTTATTTTTATTTTTTAAATATATTTTTATTCTGTTCAGAGAAGAAAGAAGAGGGAGAGAAAGATAGAAACATCAATGATGAGAATCATTGATCGGCTGCCTTCTGCATACCCTCACTGGGGATTGAGCCCGCAACCTGGGCATGTGCCCTTGATCAGAATGGAACCTGGGACCCTTCAGTCCATAGGCTGACGCTCTATCCACTGAGCCAAACTGGCTAGAGCTGGTGTCTTAGTTTTAAAGAAGCAACTAAAACTCCAGAAGGTGACTTGCCAAAATCTAACCCACGGCTCTGCAGGGGTGCTTTCTTCACTGCTTTATAATATAGTGCTCCTCAGCAAGGAAGGAGGGGGTGTGGGTATTGGGGAAGCTATGCATACCACCATCAGTAGCATCTCTACTCTGATGACTGATAGCTAGCCAGGCAGCACTAGAGACAGAGGTTTAGGGGCTGGTGGGAAAGAGAACGGGTCACTGGTGCTACTAGTTTCTGCACATGAGGGGATCACCTCAACCGTGACACTGCAAAGAAAAGAATCATGGGAAATGGATACATAGTCTCTAGGGGGATGGGCACTTCTTGTTTTGTTAGCTCATTTCTTGGCTATTTTCCTTCCCTTATCTGTCTTACATGATCAAGAATGATGTCGTGGTGGAGGAGGATGCTATGGCCTGAGAGGCAGATATTGGCCTGAGAATGGAGTGGGAGGGTAGAGCCAGCCTGACGGAAAAGAGCAGAGTGCTCAATCAGGGGTCTGATAGACATGCCCTGGAAACATTAAGATGGGATCTGCCTTATTGTTAATTACTGGCACTCATTACAGCCAAGTTTTATTTTACTTGGTCATGAATGCTTTTTTTTAAGCACTTTAGGTATGCGTTGAGTCTATAGCAATTGAGGAACAAGATGGGAGTAGGAAAGGATGAACAGCTTGGCTGGGCATTGGGCAAGGAGCATTACAAAATGCTTTCCTGCTGAGACCGGTTTGGCTCAATGGATAGAGCGTCGGCTTGGGAACTGAAGGGTTCCGGGTTCGATTCCGGTCAGGGGCATGTACCTTGGTTGCGGGCACATCCCCAGTAGGGGGTGTGCAAGAGGCAGCTGATCGATGACTCTCTCTCATTGATGTTTCTCTCTATCTCTCTCCCTTCCTTTCTGTACAAAAAAAATCAATAAAATATATTTTTAAAAAATGCTTTCCTGTCTACTGATTACATGAAGTGCATGTTTGTTAATATTGTTTTACACATGAGGCACATAAGGCTCAGCATCAACTGAATGGATGCTTCACAAAACCTCTTCTGAGCTATAGTTACTATTTTATGAGGTGATTTTTTTAAAAAAAGATTTTTTATTGAGAGAAAGAGAGAAACACCAATGTGAAAGCGAATTGATCGGCTGGGCATGTGTCCTGACCGAGAATCTAACCGTCATCCCTTCCGGGCACCGGATGGTGCTGTCCAGCCGACGGCCAGGTCAGGGAGAGGATTTTTAGTTGGTAGGAAGAGACTCTCCTGGATGCTGGTGGTGCCCTGCCCTTTGAAACAGGGATCTTAAAGAAACGGTGCCTGAGCCAGTGTGGCTCAGTTGTTTGGAGCATTGTCCCCTACGCCAGGCTCAAACCCTGGGTGGGACACAAACAGGAAGTTGGGGGGAGAGGAGCAACCCATTAATGTCTCTCTTTCTCTCTTTCTTCCCCCCCCCCCCCCTCTCTCTCTCTCTCTCTCAGATCAATAAAAACATATCCTTGGTGAGAATTTTAAAAAGAAAGGAAATGGCCACACTGCCATCTTTATGCCCATTATCAGCTTCCTGCTTACGTGCTTCAGGAACTGGCTGGGAAGACCACCTTTCTGGGGTTTCAGGGAAGACCTTGGCTAGCTGCTTCTGGTACCGGTTGAGATTCTCCAGGAAAATTAGGTCTCTCTGTGCACCAATCTTGTGGACGATCTGGACTTTATCTATGAACAGATAAAGAAATAATGAGTCAAATACACAGAGGGGGCAAAAAACAAAAAAAGAAATAATGAGTCCCCAGCACCTCCCATCTCACCCTTCTGGGCTTTAGTCACCTGGACCAGATCCAATTTCGTCTTACCCTCCCCCAAGCCCCAGGGACGCCTGGCTGCCCTGCTCGGTGAGGCCTGGAGGGAAGGCGGAGCCTGTCTCACTAGGAAAAGCTAGATGCTGATGAAGGGCCACCTACGTCATCTCTTCGTGGTCATGAATGCTTTTTCTTAAGCACTTTAGGAATGCGTTGAGTCTATAGCAATTGAGGAACAAGATGGGAGTAGGAAAGGATGAACAGCTTGGCTGGGCATTGGGCAAGGAGCATTACAAAATGCTTTCCTGCCTACTGCTTACATGAAGTGCAGTTTTGTTAATATTGTTTTACACATGAGGCACATAAGGCTCAGAGAGATTATATCATTTGCTGAAGGTTAGGAGGAAAGGATTAATCCAGGACTTAACCTCGGATCTGCCTGACTCCAAAGCCTGTGATATATTTTTTTCTCCAATATAACTCCTCAGTGGGGGAATGTCTCAAAGTGAGAGGAGGGAGAGGGGTGTACAGAGAAGAGGTAGATTGTTCCCAAAGCCAAACCTTGCTTGCTTTACAATCCCCCCCTCCACGGCCTCCTTAGAGAGCTAGAGAAAGGAGGAAGAGGGAGGACCATTTTCTCAGGGAAGACCTTGGCTAGCTGTTTGTCTGGACATCTCCCCTTCCTCTCCCCACACACCCTTCACAAAAACAAAACAAAAACAAACAAACAAACAAAAACCCACACACAAATAGCTCGTATGAGAGTGACCAGGGAATGTTATGGAGATGTTACCAGGAACACCAGGGTCATCCAGGACCTTATCTGCACCCATGACTGTCACCCCCCAGCTCCCTCCCATCCCCAGGCCTCCTCAGCCCCCACCAAAGGGCCCGGCTCCATTACCAAAGTAAATCTCCTGTGCAAAGGTGTTGTCGGTGGAGTAAGCATGCTTCCCAGCTCGGAGAGTCACCTGCCGGATGTAGCTCTGTGTAGGGGACTGGCTGATCATTTTCTCTTCATCAATGTATTCTGCGGTCTTGTTGTCAGACATTGTTTCAACACCTTGCTCTTGAGGCGAATAATTGGGCAATCTGGCCGGAGTGAGAGAAGGAAGGAGAAAAGGAGGGGAAAGGTAGGAGATGGACTTCCTCCTTTCTATCAGATTTACAGCTCACTCTCTTTCCTATTTTCCCCCCCCCAATATGTTTCTGCCTGATGTGGCTCAGTGGATAGAGTGTCAGCCTGTGGTTCGATTCCAGGGCACATGCCGGGGTTGCGGACACGATCCCCAACTCCCCAATGGGGGCTGTGCGGAGGTAGCCAGTCAATGATTCTCATCATTGATGTTTCTAACTCTCTCTTCCTCTCCTTTCCTCTCTGAAATTAAAAGGGGAAAAAAAAAGTTTCTATTGATTTTGAGAGAGAGAGAGAGAGAGAGAGAGAGAGAGAGGGGAAGGGAGAGGAAAAGAGAGAGAGGAACATCTGCACGCCCCCTACTGGGGATCGAGCCTGCAACCCAGGAATGTGCCCTGACTGGGAAGCAAACCATAACCTCTTGGTGCATGAGATGACGCTCAAACCATTGAGCAACACCGGCCAGGTTCTCTTTCCTTTTTAAGCTCAAAGCATACACACATGAGCATTTTTTGTTTGTTTGTTTACCATTCCCGGAGGTACTGCAATACCAGATCAATGCTCAGAGCAGACGGAGCAGGTTCCTATTCCAACTCCCAGCTTCAAAAATCCATTTAACAGCTGAAACCTGTTTGGCTCAGTGGATAGAGCGTCAGCTTGCGGACTGAAAGGTCCCAGGGGGTGTGCAGGAGGCAGCTGATCGATGTTTCTCTCTCATCGATGTTTCTAACTCTCTATCCTTCTCCCTTCCTCTCTGTAAAAAAAAAAAAAATCAATAAAATATACTTTAAAAAAATAAAATAAAGAACACCTTTATTTAACTATTTGGCCTTGGCCCCGAAATGCCAATTGAATATGGAGCTGCTAGAAGGGCCTGCCTGCAGCCACCTTCCCCCTTCCCTGGTGGAGCCACTCCTTCTGCAGCCACTGGAAAGCACCATCGCTGCCCATCCTGCCAGCATTACCCTTCCTCAGTGCGGGTGCCCTTGGCGGTCACATGGACTTGAGGAAGGGAACCCACCTCCTTCAGTTGCCCACTTTATTAGGTGTGGTTACTTATGTCCGCTGGACAGGCTGTAAGCACCTTAAAAGACAGGTTCAGGTCTATCCCATTGACATTGCATTCCCAGCACTTTGCAAAGTAAAGTAGTGGGGATGCAACTTATATTTCACTAACGCATGAATACATAAATGGGCTTCCGCTTATGTTTGGATCACTTTTGGGAATCGGAGGTATTAGAATAGCTCCAGCCTTCCCTCTGGCTATCCATGAGAAGGAGAGACAGGCACAGTGACCCTCTTCTCTCGGGCTGTTTACTTCTCTGCCCTGCGGCCAGCCAGTGTTTGAGTCAGTGACGTGCTTGGCCTCTCACTCAGAGTGAGGCAGGACCAAACCTCAGAGCCAGGAGGGCTCTGCCTTCCTCACGCTCCCCGTGCATGCGTTTCCGGGAGCGCCTGGGTAGTAACTGGATCAGCAGAAAGGGAAAGGCTGAGAGCCGATCCCTATAACGGCGCCGGTTGTCACAGCTGGAGGGTACCAGTGGTGGCCTCCACAGGAATGCCGTTACACATCTCACAATACACAGGGCCGCACGCCCTGCAACCTAGAATGTCGGCAGTGCTGGGGCTGAAACGCTGACTGTGCGCAGATCTACAGAGCAGGGAGTCACAAGAGGTTGGTGGGAGAGGGTAAGCCCATCCAGGATCCCGTGAAGGGAAGCCCGGCATTCTTCAAGGCGTGTCTGGGGCCGGTCTACCTGTAATAAACCGGAAGCAGCAGCTCTGGCTCCTTCTTCTCCTCCTCGGCGGGCAGGCTGACCCTTGGCTCCTCAAAGTCTGCCATCTCTGCTTCCTCCAGTTCTTTCAAGAGCTCCAGGTCGCTGGCGGAGCTGAGCTCGTCCCGGATGTGGCTCCAGTCGTACTGGTGGCGCAGGAAGCTCTGCCACTTGTTGGGGGACACCCCGGGCCTCAGGGGACGCTTGTTCTGGATCCACCGGGCCGTGCGCTTGTTCAGTTTCCCCAGCACGATGGCCTCCCAGGCCCTGGCCTCCTTCTCGTGGGGCGGGAGCCAGGTCTCCCTCTCCAGGTTCAGATCTGGCGTAGGCGGCGGGCTCAGGAGCTCTGGCACCTGACAGGGATGAGGGATGGGCGAGCAAGACTTCTCCCGGCCTGTGCTCACCGACTTCTTTTTCTTCTTCCTAAAGAAGGTAGGGCTTCTTGGTTTCTCAGCCGGGGAGGTCACCCTTGCTGAGGGACTTGAAGAATCCAAGAACCCGAGCCTGACAGGTTTCTCAGGCCGGGCCTTCCTGATGGGGGGAGGCTGGACGATGCTGCCTGGGCGGTAGAGGTGATGGAAGTTGTACTGGTTGTAAGGCACGCTGGCTAGCCCTCGCTGCCACACCACCTCCTGAGAGAAGGTGAGGTGGGAAGCCGCCTTTTTAAAATACTGGTTCTTGAGGTCTGCGCAGTGCTGCGGGCTGAAGTGGAAGGCGGGAGGCACGCTGGAGAGGGAGGCGCACTCCTCCTGGCCTTTCGGTTTCCCGTGGGAGAAAGGCACGCCCCATCCCAGCTGTAGGGGGGGTGACTGGTGGAGAACTTGAGGAAGAAAGGTCTTTTCCTGTTGGTTCCTGGCCATTGTTTCCCAGCCAATGCTGCCTGCCCCTCACCGCCTGGTCCAGAGGCAGGGCCTGGAGGCGTGACCTGTGGAAGGGATGAGAGGACTTGGTGAGGAGAGCTCCAGGTCATAGACATAGGTAACCCACAGCAATACAGAAAGAGAAGAACTTGGGAGATAGATGGGAGGAGAGAAAGTCGTGTGAATTAGAAGGATGAGAGAAAGAAAAGGTACAACATTCTAAGTACTCCTGGCATCAGACCCTCGCTTCCAGTCTCACACTTGAACCCAAAGCTCTGCACCCCCATCTTCTTATGGAGGATCACTGCTTCTCAACAGTGTTCCATGCTTCCAGTTTCCCCTTGCTTTCTCTCTGTTCAAAGGCTTAGAGCATAAAGTTCAGACAACTCAACCTGGCACCCGGAGTTCTCCATGAGTGCAATTGCCCGTTAATGATCTTGTCCTGACTTGTAGCCTCTGGCGTCTCCTAGCTCTCCTCCAGCTATTCCTCCCTTCACATAGTGGAGCTTCCGTCTGTGCCTTCTGTATGAAACTAGTGGCCCAGTACACAGATTCATGCACATTGAAAGGAAATTAATTAGAAGAAATATTTTAATATTGCTATTTGCCCTTTTCCTATAATAGAAGTGGCAGAGGTGAAAGGAAATTAGTAAAATGTATATAAAAATAATATATGAATTGATTAATAAGCAATAATAACATGATAATACAACAGCAAAGACATGATATAAAAACAATATTGATAAAAATGACTGATAAATTGATTAACTTATTCTAATATCTCCCTGTGTACCACATTAAGAGTAAAAACACTTTCAGAGTGCTTGACTAATTTTCCTTGTGATGAAGTATTTACAACTTTAACTCTAATGCCACATGCTTTCGAGAGAAAGCAACATATAACTGACCATGTCCAAAAATGGGTTCAGGTAGGAATATTCCTACTCTGTGTAGATTGGTGCCAGTGAGAGCTTTATACATATTACACATGTGTGAGTCAAGGTTTATTTTTAAATTGCCAGTGCATGTTATATCTACCAGATGGTCGGATGGTCGAACGGATGAATGGTTGGTAACAGCCTTTTATATGGATAGACTAGTGGCCCATGCACATTAAAAGGAAATTAGAAGAAATATCTTAATATTGCTATTCACCCTTTCTCTATAATAGAAGTGTCAGCCAAATTCACGATCAACAATGACAGGTCGAAACACATGCATGCTATTGGCACCAGTGAGAGCTTTCTATGTATCACACATGTGTGAGTCAACTTAACATTTTATATATAGAGAGAAAATAAACTTGCTTAGTTAGACCTGCTTTCTCTTAATTTTTTAAATATATATTTTATTGATTTTTTTCCAGAGAGGAAGAGAGAAGAATAGATTAAGATGACCAGACGTTCTGCTTTTGGCTGGACAGTCCCAATTTTTAACAATTTGTCCTGTGTCCCTCGGCGTTTTAAAACAGTCCTGATTTTTTGAAAGAATTGTTAACAATAGGGACTGTCCCGCCAAAAGTGGGACATCTGGTCACCTTAGGATGGATAGTTAGAAACATTGATGAGAGAGAAACATCGATCAGCTGCCTCTTGCATACCTCCTACTGGGGATGTGCCCGCAACCAAGTTACATGCCCTTGACCGGAATTGAACCTGGGACCTTTGAGTCCACAAGCCGACGCTCTATTCCCTGATCCAAACCGGTTTCAGCAAGAGACCTGCTTTCTGATTTAGCCAAACTTCTTCCAGCCCAGTGGAGCACCCCAACTTCTCTTTCAGGTAACTGTCAGCAGCACAGCAGTAAATAACATGAAGCAGATTATTATTGTAGATCACACAGGGAGAACAGCAGATAAAATATGTAACTGCAGAAGTGTTTAACTATATTCTGCGCAATGAGAAAACCTGAAATAATTTTCAAGTTCCACCATTTCTTACTTCTTTTCAGTCAGGTCAAGTTTCTAAGCTTTCTAATTCTCCATTTTCCAGCTAATGAAAAGAAAATAGGATTCCACCAAGTCTCCTAGCTACCTACTCCAGGATCAATTGAGATGAGGCCCAGGAAAACACATCACAGACATTTAGTTAGTGTAAAATGTTTCTACCTGGCTAGAAAGCAAGTCGTGTTCCTGGGCTGGAGAAACTGCAAGGAGGCTAGTCACTAGTCACAAGGGAGAGGAAGTCAGGTGTTGCTAAGTGACATTATTATGCAGATGGACACATAGCATATAGCCTTTTATATATATAGATTGCCAAGGCATGTCATATATACTGGCCGGCAGTGGATGGTCGCACAGACTTATGGTCAGTCACTTAGCCTTTTATATATATAGATATCCTTTCTTCCATATTTAACACAAATTCTATCTATTTTCTCAGCTCAATTTTTGCCTGCTCCATAACCTCCTTGACCTATCTGGGCCTCCATGTCATATGAAAATTTATAAATTAATTCTAGTCCATGCCAGTTGTTTTAAATTTTAATACCGTGACACTTCACATTATTAAATATATGGCTCTGTATTGCCCTGTCTCTGCTAGCCTTCAAAATCACCTGGTACTTTTTCATATTGTTTCATGGTCAACATTGTTAGAATTTCTAATATCTGCAAAATATTTTGTCAAGTGTATAAACCACTTTATTTATTTATTTATTTATTTTTATTGATTTTTTTACAGAGAGGAAGAGAGAGAGAGTTAGAAACATTGATGAGAGAGAATCATCGATCAGCTGCCTTCTGCACACCCCCTACTGGGGATGTGCCCGCAACCAAGGTACATGCCCTTGACTGGAATCAAACCTGGGACCTTTCAGTCCCCAGGCCGATGCTCTATCCACTGAGCCAAACCGGTTTCGGCTGTATAAACCACCTAAGCTCTTCCTTAATTACTGGTTTTAGCTAGCATGGAAAACACTATAGATAACCACTGCCTGGATTTAGTGCTTTGAAAAAAATTTTCCTTCTGAAGCACTTACTTGGACTAAGCATGATAATTTACAATTAGGGAGTACTTTGCTAAGGGCTTTACACAGGGAAGATATTATAGTCTTCATTTCCTCAGAGAGGTAGGTAGCTATTTCAGATTACATGGGTCATAAGTAGAGCGGTGATGCTTCAAACCAGCTGCCATTTTCCAGCTCCAGAGCACTCAACCTCTGGGCAGCACTGGCCTTGGTTCAAGAACCACTCACTGTGCTGGCCTTGCCCTTCCCTGAGGGCAGGCAGGCCTCATGTAAATGACACAATTATCCTGCCTTGTTTGCCCTGTGTACAAGGTGCCCTTTAGGGCAGATCTGACTTATTTCTCTTTCCTTTATAACACTCACCACAGTACCTTCTCTCCTTAGGGCTTGATTTATCCCACTGGCTTGTGTATTAAATCTCATCTCTCAGTGGATTTTTTGTTGTTGTTGTTGTTGTTGTTGTTGTTACGGGCTAGCTTTCATCTAGATGTCACTAGGTCAAAATGGATAACCTCACTCAAATCAAGTCCCACATGATTGATATGCTATCGCTTTAGAATTTTTTGCTCGTAAGATGGAATTTGGTTGTTCCATCTCTTCACAACCATGAAGGCAACATGGCCCCAGTATTTTTAAGTATTTAAATGCTGGAAGCCAGTTTCATCGAAAGGTTGATGGAATTTGAGGATTCAACAAGGGCTGAGCCACATATATTATCACCTGCTGGGATGGTATTTCCCCAAACCTGAAAAGGATATATAAATTGTTTGCTGCCAGACAGTGCAGGGCATCTTAATCTACATGTTATTGCCTCCTGTTGGCCAAACAACTGAACAGCTGAAGGCAATTCCCCAATCTGACAATGCTTCTGTACAAAACCCTACTCTTTGAAGTGTATATCTCCACCTTGCCTTAGGACAATTTGTGTTAATAAAAAGCAAGGGGTCTTGAGACAAGGAGAACTTAGTTTCTTTAGCTAGGTACTCTGACCCCCAAAGCCTTTCAAAATTATCTTTCGTCATGGACTCTTATTTAATCTATGCACAGCCCCCTCTCCAAATTGCTGAACCCTTCTAGATGCTAGATCAAGACCACCGGCGTTATTTAAAAAGTTAGACTAGAAAAGTTAGGGCAGGGGTAGAGATGGTCACAGTATTACATATGCCCCCTTTTTACTCCATTGATTCCTTCTATCCCACCCACACCCAGGCCTACTGTCTGTGTCCATCGATGATGCATATATATATATATATATATATATATATATATATATGCATACAAGTTCTCTAGTTGATCTCTTCCCACCCATCCTAGATATTGTTAAAGGACCCTCTGTATCAAGATGGGGGGGGGGGGGAATTACAACACATTAAAGAAATCACAGCACCAAGAGGTATCTGTGTGAACAACATAGACTGATGAACAAGAACAGACCCAGAGATAAGGAGCCATGGGTCAGACTGTTGGATCTCAAAGGGAGGGTGGGGACAAAAGGGAGAGATCAACCAAAGGACTTATGTGCACGCGTGAGCCTAACCAGTGGTCAAGGACAATAGGGGGGTGGGGGCATGAGTGGCGGGGGGTGGGGGCTTGGGATGGGGGGTTGAGGACAAATATGTGATACCTTAATCAATAAAGAAATTTTTAAAAAAAGAGGTATCTGTGGGGTGTATGAAGGAAGTTTGGCTGGTAGGGAGAGCGGGAGAGGGGACTTGTTTTAAATCCTTTCCCTGCTGCCTTTTTCTCATCAGAAAGTTTCCTTTATTTTTCCCCCTCTGCCTTCTCATTCCCATTCCTAGCCATGTAATCACACAACTATACTGCTGTCTGCTGTGGGAACTGCCACAAAGGTGACCTGTTCTTAGTCTTAGAGAAGAGACGTGACTCAGATCACAGGACTGGTGAGCCTTCGGAGCAATCCTGATCCTTTGACACCTAATCCCAAACCTTTCCATCAGCTTCAGACCGTCTCTCCTCAGTCAGCTGAGCCAGTAAACTCCTTTCAGACACCAGTAAAGCAGCAGCGTGTTGAA